TGGGGAAAAGACAAGAAACAAGAACAATTTTGAGTAAATTCTTCTATAAGCAGGATGAAAAATAAGTTTAAATCCAGTGCCTTTGAAACCAACAAACAAAAATGCAGAAGGATTTTTTTTTTAATTCTAAAATCTGAAAGTTAGTTCTCTCTGATGGAGAAGAATAATTCACATACATTTCAAAAGCTGACTTTAAAAGTCTCTGAAAACTCACAATCACAAAATGTAGGATTTACATCATATTTCAGAGCATTAATTTTCTTTGTTGTTCATATACAATTATATGTATTGCTGCAAAATATTTTTGCTGGCTTCAGACTAGACACTGAAAATTCTTTGATCAATATTTGATGTTCATGTTGAAAAGTTGGAGACCTACTTCTTCATAGTGTTTCACTGTAAATTGAAAACACCTCCCTAGTAACTCTCATGCAAAATATAAAGAATGCTTCAGGCTTTTCTCATTAACTGTTTCTTGGTTCCTCCAAGCAAATTTCACTGCTATCATCTAATACAGATTTTTCTACTCAAAGTGCTAAGAAGCAAGACTCATAATATTCTGAATATTAATAATTGAGCCTTCCTTCCTTCCTTCCTTCCTTCCTTCCTTCCTTCCTTCCTTCCTTCCTTCCTTCCTCTATAGTCCCTTTAATGCAAAAATAGAAAACTACAATAATATACTATAAAAAGTAGGACCTGAATATTTTAAATGATTGAAGTATCTAAAGCTGCCACTCTAGCTCATTGTCATTTTGATTTGCCATGAAAATTCATATCAAGCTTTGAAGAGGAACTTACCATTTCTAAGTACTGATATTCATATACTCAGTGCAAAGCAACACATTTACCAAAATGAAAGAGAGGATTAACCTAGAGCCCCAAAAGCAAAATAGAGTTTTTCTGTGGAACAAATGTACTTTGTGATACTTCCTTTTTTTAAAAAAATAAAGCTTACTGTTAAATTAAGAACTCGTTTAAATTACTCCATTTCTCTTGAAATCTCTGATACTAGCAGGCTATGTTAATCTGAGGAATAAAACAGAGAATCTATTGAATGTTAAGAAATAAGATTAGACATTCTAGACCATCTTGAAAATACTGTATATAGTATTACAGGTAAAAGAATTATAAGAATTCCATCTAAACAATTTCATTATTTTCTTCTTTATTTGGTTTGTATGAATAAAGTTTGGAATAAATGTTTGTGACAGAATGAAATGTTTTCTGTAAGAATAACCTTAATGACTCTTTTTGAGGCATTGGCTCAGCCTTCCATCCTTTTGAGGTCAGTAAAATGAGGACCCTGATTGTTGGGGGCGATAGGCTGACTCTGTAAACCGCTTAGAGAGGGCTGTAAAGCACTATGAAGTGGTATATAAGTCTAAGTGCTATTGCTATTGCTCTTTTGGTAATTTGAATCCCCCAAAAAGCATCCTTGGAAATGATGGTAAATAGAAATAAATGTCACAGAGGAACCTGCATAAGTGAACCAACTTTGATGATCTGACAATGAAAAGTTTTCATGAGCAACCGATTTCTTGAAAGCTAGGGGAGGAAAACCTGTATTCCACTGTTGTGAGTGAGAGCTGTGCTCCTTTCATAATAGTGTTAAGTTAGTTGATTTTGTCAGGAAAAAAATCCAAAACAGGTGGTGTCTGAGTTAATCTAGTAGGATTTAAAAAAAAAATGCTTTTGTGAATTTTCACTCTGGCAAAAGAATTCTGGATTAAATAGGCTTTTGATTTAAGTCACCAACCTTATGTATATGATTTCTGTTAATGCGTTGGAATACATAATTTTAACTAAGAACTGTAAGTAATAAAAATAATTCTTGATGTTCTCTTGTGGAGTCTGTTAGTTCAGAGGCAATTTTTAAGCATCTACCTGTCCTTATGTTTCTCCACTTTTCAAGTGATTTCTATGGTAGTTGAAGTAACATCTAAAACAATCATATAGGTAATCACACCCATTTCACATTATTCCATTGTGCAATTTGTGCTGCTTTATTAAACACATAGACATATCTGTTGAAGAGCGATAGAGGAAATCCCAAATGAAATTAAAAAAGCATTTGCTATAGAATGTAACTCCAGAATTAATTTTAGATATTTGCTTAGTTATCATAGAATTATAGACGGACTGGATTCCGGGGAGAGAAAATATCTTGAATAATAATGATGTGTCATAAGAAATGAATTCTTTAAGTAAACAAATAGGAAAGCTTTTATTTATGAGCCTGTGAGGTGGCACAACTTCTTTTAGCTCTTATTATTATTTTGGTTTGTCACACAGTCAGCAGGATGTTCAGACTGGATTTGGCATTTTTGCCTATTACCATATTTTTTGGACTATAAGACGTACTGGTGTATAAGATGCATCAAGATTTCAAAGAGGTAAGTAAGAAAAAAAAGATTTTTGCCCTCCCCAGCCCCATGGAGCACTCTGCAGGCCTCCCAAACCCCATTTTTCGTCCATTTTTTGGTCAAAAATGGCCCCGTTTGCATGCAGAAGTTTTGGGAGGCCTGCAGAGTGCTCCTGGGGACTGGGGGAGGGAAAAAACACTGCAGTTTTTGCAAAAAATGGGCCTGTTTTTCACAAAAATGGGACGAGCAGGGCGAGGCTTCGGGAGGCCAAAAATGGCTATATTCGGTGTATAAGACGCACCAATATTTCCATCCTCTTTTGAAAATGTGTCACAAATACCATTGACTGGTGCTAATGGTTGATACGGGTTGCTGCCAGCGTCCTAGGTATCAACTAACTATCTTCTTAAAATATATGATGTTCTGAGTAGCGCAGTTTTTTGTAGTTCCACTGGTGTTATTGCAGGAAGCTGCAATTTCTTGATGTGTTTTGTAAAATTCTTGGACATGGTACCAAGTGCCCTGATGACAATGAATATCACTGTTACATGTTTCATCCATATTAGTTATTTTTAATCTTTGATTTGATTCACAGTTGGGATTGGTAAAAAGTTAACAGTTCAAGTCTTAACCAAGGACCTAAAAGCGGTTAAGTTAGTGCCTGAGTATATAAATTTCCATGTATCTAGGTAACCCTTTGGGTATTGCTCCAAGGACACCTATTATTATTGGTACAATCATTGATTTCTTCCTCCACAATCGCTCAACATCAATTTGCAGATCGTGATATTTTGTTATTTTTTCTAGTTGTTTCTCTTCAATTCATGAATCACATTGTAGTGCAATATTAATGAACCAGACTGTTTTATTTTCTATGAGAGTGATGTCAGGCCTCTTGTGGGAGTCTGTTTTTTGGATTCAAAAGTTCCACAAGATCTTGACCTGCTCATTTTCAAAAACTTTGTCAATTTGAGGTTCCCAATAATTTTTGCTGCCTTTGAACGCAAAGTTAATGTTAATGGGGCATCTTGATTCCTTCAATTTTCACTTGTTTGATAGTGAGTGTGCACATTTGTCCAATCCAAATTCCATTGTAAAATCTTGGCTATATATATGGACAGCATTGAGCAGCAATTCTATTTCAGATGGAGTTTTTTCATACAGCTTCAGATCGTCCATGTAAAGGAAGTGAGGTAGTCTGTCAGATGTTTTTGATGTTTGATAGCCATGGCCTGAGTTATTCAGTACTGTTGACAGAGGAAACAGTGCAATGACAAATAGTAATAGTGATAGTGAATCTCCTTGAAATATTCCTCTCTTGATATTAACTTCTCCCAGTCTCTCATCATTGACCTGCAACTGTGTCTTCCACTGTGCAATCAATCTTTGCACAAAGCTTCTGATGTTTCTACTGACTCCTGTTATTTCTGGTTAACCAGTCATGTGGCAGAGAGTCAAATGCCTTTTTGTAGTCAATCCATGCTGCATTCAGGTTCATCTTCTTTCTCTTGCAATTTTCCAAAATCATTTTATCAATTAGGAGTTTATCTTTTGTTCCTCTGCTATTGGGGCAGTTTTCCAGTGTGCTGCGTCTACACTCCATAGCTGGGACCAATCCTCATTTCTGACAGCAACTGAGAGAACTTTTTAAATCAAATTCCTACCTCACTCTGTGCTCTAGCCACACCCCTTTAGCCTTAATTCCCCAGTCTTTCTCTCAGTTGCTGACAGACTGAGGTGATTATTTTTCCTCTGTGCTCTAGGGTAATGCGATTAGGTTTTTGAGTTATTTTTGAGTAGCTGTAAATTTCTTTTCTACTTATTTCAGTTAGGAGAAGGCTTTTTCCTTTTGTGTTTCCTGGATTGTCTGCCGCTTGCTGTTTTAGCTGACTGCATGCCTGGTGAGCCGGGTCGGGTTGAGCTTCACGCTTCGCACGCACACAGCTGCCGATATCTGTCCCTGCGGGGCGGATTCGGCTGGGAGATCGTGATCGGTGGAGGAGGGGCTCTGTGGTTCGCCGTCGTAACCCCTACCTCGTAATTATTGAGCTGGAGTTTCTCGTCTTGTGAAGCGACGGCAAGGCAAGTAAAGGCCTCAGCATGGGAGGCTCAGCTCCCTCATTAAAGAGAACCAGCTGCCGTCCCATCAGGGATCTGCGGGCGGAGCCACATTTTAATAAGGCCAGCCCAGGGATTTCCTCCCTTTCATGGGTAGAGTGGCTTCTGGGGATGCTAGCCGCCCACGCCACAATTTTGGTTCAGCGGCCTCGTGGTGAGCGCTGTTGGTGGGGATTCGACTCATCACGCCCGCCATTTTGATGCAACCTCCAACTTGCCTGAGCGAATTATTTCAGGCCTCCGCCCTTGCCTAACCAGCGGTGATTGCTTGGAGTGGCGTTTGAGGGCATTTTGTTTTGGGATTGACCTTTCTTTATTGTTTGGAGTCGTTCTGGCCATTTCTTGGTCAGTGCTCCTCAAGACTACAGACAGGCCCAGGCCCTGGGGAGGCCGGCGGGCCTGCTCCTCGTAGGCGGGTTACACTTGGGCCTAATCTCCCCAAGGGTTCATTGTACATAAAATAAAAAAGAAAAAAAGAAAAAATAATAATAAAACCAATTAATTATTATTATTTCTTACCATTGTTGTACATAGTTCCCTTTCTATCCAAGGTCTTTTTGCTTGGGGGCAATGGCAGACTTATCGTTGTCCTCAGATCTTGAGCAGAAAACCAGCCCTGCTAGGTCCTCCAAATCCCATAAGAAGAAGAAGAAGGACAAGCGTTCTGCTTCTGCCAGTCATAAATCACAACATTCCAAAAACCCCGCTGTTGGTGACAAGGATGCCCTCCGTCGCCACAAGGCATTTGAGAAACAATATGAGAAGGCCAGACAGATGGCTGCCTTACTGGTCAACCAGGATCAGAGTCAGACTCAGCCAACGTCTCCTGCTTGTGAGCTCTCACTGTCTGGGTATGCTTCTATTACCCCATTGGCTCTGTCTAAGAGGGTGTCACAATCCATGCCTGATGTTTCCGTTGCTGGAATGGATTTCTTTTTACTGCCGGCAGGACAGGCCCCGTCAGCCACCTTTACCCCTACAGCTGAGGGCCTACATCCATCTGATCTGACCCCAACGAGCTCGCAGGTCGATTTTCAGGTGATGCTGTCCACGGCCTTGGCCACCATCATGGCTGCAGGGGTCCATCAAGCTGCTCAAGGGCCTGCTCCGGTGGCACGTCAAGAGGCAGCACATGTGTCGCAGACTCACAGGTCCCGTTCGCCCCTCTGATGGGAATCTGATTCGTCAGGAGAGTCCGAGCAGGAGGAAGGGTGCCCTGAAGATCTCGAATTTTCGGAGGATGAGGGCTTGTTGCCTGACACTCTGGCCTTTACGGGCTTGTTTTGTCCATCTTTATTTAAGTCTCTCCTCCATAAGGCGCATTTGACAACTAATTTGGGATCGGTGGGGGCCCAACTCCCTGCCTCCCAACCTGAGGCGGGTTCGCATGATGCTCTGTTCAAGCAAGCTAAACAGGAAAAAGCCTTTATCCCAGGTCCCCAGTTGTTTACAGACATGCTGCAAGCACCATGGGGCCAGCCTGGGTCCCTCACTGTGCCTAACAATCAAGACAAGAAATTGTATTGCTCACCACCTGAGTTGGAGGCACTGTTGGATTTGCCAAATGTAGATGCTCCTGTGGCAAGCCTCACCACTCAATCAGTGATATCTTCTGATCCGTTGGATGGTCTGAAATCTGAGGACAGACGCATGGAGTTGGCCTTTCGTAAGTCACATCAAGCGGGGGCCTGGGCCATCAGGACCGCTACGGTTACTTCTTTCTTCAATCGTGCTTCCTTAATCTGGTTGCGCCAGCTTCAGGAACAGCTTCCCCCAGACGAAATCCGCTTACATCAAGATGTCAACAAAATTATAGCGGCCATCGAGTACTCAGCTGACACATCGTTGAATTCTGTGAAGTTTACTTCTTGGGCGCTTGCTTCATCTATACATCACGGCGGCTCTTCTGGCTTCGCCCCTGGAAGGCAGATGTCAAAACAAAATGGAAACTGGCTTCGGCCCCATACAAGGGGCCTAATTTATTTGGGGCCGTTCTAGAACCGCTCCTCATGGAGGACAAAGATAAACAGAAGATCCTACCATCGACCTTCCGTAAGCAGGACAGGCGTTATACACCTTACTCCCAGTGACAGCCCTTTCGGACCTACTCTGGGCCTGGGGGGTCCTCTACTTACCGCCAGTCCTTCCAGCCTTCAGACCACTCCTCAGACAGGTAGCGCTTTCGGGACCGGGGCAGACCACAGGTTCCCTCAAAATGACCTTACCGTGGGTCCGGTTCCAAGCCTTTTCGGCGGGGCAAATGACTCGCCGCGGGAAGGCCCGGTGGGGGGTTGCCTCCGGGCCTTCCACCAGCAGTGGACACTGTCAACCTCGGACAATTGGGTACATTGCACGGTTTCCGAGGGGCTTCTGATCGAGTTTATAGATCGACCCCCGAAGCGCTTTGTCAAGTGCCCCATACCGCATTCATCGGAACAACATCGTCTCATGCTGGCAGAGATAACACACCTCCTAGACATCAACGCAATAGAACAGGTTCCGTTGGACCAGCAGGGGACCAGGTTTTACTCGATCCTGTTCCTGGTACCCAAGAATTCTGGGGGAGTAAGGGGTATCCTCAACTTGAAGCGGCTGAATCAAGCGGTTTGCTATCGCCGCTTTAAAATGCATTCTCTACGGTCGATCCTGTCCTCTGTGCGCCTGGGTGATCTCATGCAGTCTGTGGATCTTTGCGATGCCTATCTCCACGTGCCAGTTCATCCGTCCCATCGCCAATATCTGCGGTTCGAATTTGCAGGCAAGCATTACCAGTATTGTGCCATGCCCTTTGGTCTTTCCTCTGCACCCAGAACTTTCACCAAGCTGGTGGCAGTGGTGGCCGCAACCCTCCATTCGATTCCAGTGCGGATTTTGTGTTACCTAGATGACATACTGGTCCTATCATCCACCTGGAATCGAGCAACTCACGACTTGGAACTGGTGCTTTCTGCCTTCCGAGCACACGGGTTCACCATAAACACGGACAAGAGCCATCTCGTCCCATCCACGTCCATTCTGCACCTCGGGTCCGTGATAGACTCGACGAGAGGTCAGGTGTTTCTGTCTCCGGAGAGGATCGAGAACATCACTGCCTTGCTCAACCAAATCCTGACCCTAAGGTCAGTGCCCTTGTTGACTCTCTCTCGCCTACTCGGGAAGCTTGTGTCGTGCTTCCACATTGTTCCTTGGGCACGCAGGCATTCCCGTCCGTTGCAATAGATGCTTCTCCCCTTTCAGAGGAAGGGCTCCACCAACACATCAAGGAAGGTGTTTGTGCCGCCGCAAGTCCATCTGTCACTGCGTTGGTGGAAGTCACAGGCCATTCGTCGGGGCTGCTATTTTCTAGATCTAGACCGGATCGTGATCACCACCGATGCCAGTCTGCAGGGTTGGGGAGCCCACCTTGCGAATCAAGTTGCTCAAGGCCGGTGGTCTCCAGTGGAACATTGCCACAGCATCAACCTCCTCGAACTTCAGGCGATTCGGCTTGTGCTCCTTCACTTCAATTCCGTGGTGCGGGGCATCACATTCTAGTCCTCATGGACAACACATCTGCGAAAGCCCATGCAAACAGGGATGGGGGCACGAGGTCTCGCACCCTGATGCTCGAGTCGGAGAGACTGTTCAGTTGGGCGGAGCGCCATCTGTTGTTGATCCGGGCGGACCATATATCAGGGTCAGCTAACGTTCAAGTGGACTGGCTCAGCAGGGAGCTGATCAACTCAGCCGAATGGCAATTACACCCGAGGCTGTTCCGGGAGCTAGTTCTCAGGTTTGGGAAACCAGTGATAGACCTGTTCGCCAGTCCCTCCAACGCCCAGCTTCCTTGGTTCATGTCCCGTTATCCGAGTCTCTCGGCAGAAGGGGTGGACGCTCTGAGATGTCGTTGGCCGACAGGTCTGTTGTATGTCTTTCCTCCAGTCGCTCTGATTCAGCAAGTGATCCGAAAGATGGTGGCAGAACGGGCAGAGATGGTGCTGGTAGCTCCCAATTGGCCGCACAGGCCATGGTTTGCCTACCTCGTGGAATTCTCTGTCAGCAGTCCATGGGTGATCCCGCCTCATCGGATCGCGTTGTGCCAAGGAGCCATTTTCCATCCAGAGCCTCAATGGCTCCAGTTGGCCATGTGGCATTTGAAAGGGTCATCTTGAGGAAAGATCGACTGTCTGACAAGGTGATTGGCACAATCCAGGCATCCCGGCAGCCTTCTACTACCCGGATCTACGAGGCGTCGTGGAAGGCGTTTTGTCATTGGGCGGCCGCACAGCATGTGGACCCGACTTCGGTGGTTATACAGGATGTGCTGGATTTTCTGCAGTCGGGGCTGGACAAAGGTCTTGCTCCGGCCACCTTACGTCGGCAAGTTACTGCTCTTTCCACGGTCATATACTGCCCTCCGTATCAATCTTTGTCTCACCACCCATGGGTCCGGGGGTTTCTTCATGGGGCCACTAATTTACGCCCACCCATGGTTCATAGGTATCCATCTTGGGATTTGCCGCTCATGTTGCGAGCTTTGACAGTTCCACCGTTTGAACCCCTGGGGTCTGTGTCACTCAAGTTTCTTTCTTTCAAGGTGGCGTTTTTGTTGGCGAGCACATCGGCACGTTGAATCTCCGAACTTGCAGCATTGTCTGTCCGGAAAGACTTATGCATCTTTCATTCTAATAGGGTGGTGCTTCGTCTCGACCCTGCGTTTACGCCCAAACTTAATTCGTGGTTTCATCATTCCCAAGAAATAGTTTTGCCGGACTTCTGTCCTGACCCCAGACATCATTGTGAGGTTCTTTGGCATACACTTGACATTCGGAGAGTCTTGCATCGCTATATTCGCCGGACGGCGTCGTTTCGAAAGTCAGAGGCTTTTCTGGTTTCGTTCCATCCAGCTTCTATGGGCCAGAAGGTTTCATCGTCGACGGTGGGTCGATGGATTAAAGCCTGCATTTCTTCATCTTATGAACATCAGGTGCGCCCGGTTCCATCTAGGATTTTGCCTCATCCGACCAGAAGTGCAGCAGCTTCGGCTGCTTGGGCGACACAGGCTTCTGTGCTGGACATTTGTAGGGCTGTCACTTGGACTTCGTTGTCGCCCTTCATCAGACACTATAGAATTGACGCTTATGCTTCGGCGGAGGCGTCTTTTGGACGGCATGTTTTGCAAAGTGTTGTTGCTGAGTCTTCTTCTGAGAGCAGTCAGCATCCCGTCCCTGAGGTTTAGGCTTGGGTATGTCCCAGCTATGGAGTGTAGACGCAGCACACTGGAAAATGGACATTGACTTACCTGAACATCCATTTTCTGGGTGCTGCGGATACACTCCATTCCCTCCCGTTTGTGTTTGGCTGTCTGCTCAGTGTTTGTTTATGGTTGGTTTGGTTGCTTCTTGTGTTGTTAATAAAATTATGTTGTACCCAGAGTTCTGTGCCGCACCTTCGTTCAAGACTGGGGAATTAAGGCTAAAGGGGTGTGGCTAGAGCACAGAGTGAGGTAGGAATTTGATTTAAAAAGTTCTCTCAGCTGTTGTCAGAAAAGAGGATTGGTCCCAGCTATGGAGTGTATCTGCAGCACCC